AGCAGCAACCCCAGCAGCAACCGCAGCAGCTGAAGCAGCAGCCGCAAAAGCTGCAGCAGCAACCGCAGCAGGAACCGCAGCAGAAACAGCAGCAGCAGCTGCCGCACCACCGCCGTGAAGAAGAGACGATTCAGCAGGAGACTGCTGAACCACAGAAGGAACAAAGACCACGCCAGCAGCAGCTGCAGCAGCAGCAGCTGCAGCAGCAGCAACCGCAGCAGCAACGGCAGGAGAAGCCGCAACAGCAGCAGCTGCAGAAGCCGCAGCAGCAGCTGCATCAGCAGCAGCAGAAGCCGCAGCAGCCGCTGCAGCAGCAGCAGCAGAAGCAGCAGCAGCAGATGCAGCAGCGAAGGCTATCGGAGTCTTCAGCTGATGATGAAGAATCAGAAGAGTTAGAGGAGGAGGAAGATAAGCTGTCAGCAGCAGCAGCAGCAGCAAAGGCGACGAGAGATGCAGAGTCAACGACAAGAACAGCAGCAGCAACAGCGGCAGAAGCAGCAACATCTTTAGAGGAGGAAGACGAGGAACCTGCCTTGGTGAGTGAAGGAGCGGCTGTTGAATCAGCTGCAGAAGAGTCTGCAAAAGCAGCAGCTCCTGCTGCTGCTGCTGCTGCTGCTGATGATGATGATGATGATGATGACGCAGCAAAAGAAGAGACAACTGAGGCTGAAGAAGAGACAGACAAGGAGACAGAAGAAGAGATGCCAACTCTGCTGCCTGGTGCACCCCACGCCTTCCCGATATTTCAGAAGCAGCAGCAGTTGCTGCTGGAGCAGCAGCAGCAGCAGGAGACGCAGGCACAGGAGAAGGAGGCGCAGCAGCAGCAGCAGGAGAAGCAAGACGAGCAACACCAGGAGGATCAGAAGCAGGAAGAACAGCAGCAGCAGGAGGAGGAGCAGGAGGAGCAGCAGCAGGAGGAGGAACAGCAGCAAGAAGAGCAGCAGCAGCAAGAAGAGCAGCAGCAACAGGAAGAGGAGCAGCAGCAGGTGTCTAGTTGGAACTTTGGTGCTGCAGTATGTGAGACTACAGCGCAGCTAACGAGCACCACAACTGCTGCTCCTTCTCGTGCTGCTGCTGTCTCCTTTAGCAGCAACTACTGCGAAGCAAAAGAGACAGATTATTTCGGCCACGACTTAGCCCGTCTTGCTGCTCTCTCTTCTCATCAATGTCAGCAGCAATGCAGAGACACTGAAGCTTGTGCAGGGTACACCTTCCTCCCGCTGCAACGCATCTGTCTCCTTAAGTGGTTGCTGCTGCCTCGTCCTGTCCCTGCTTTCATCAGTGGGCCTAGGTGCTGCCCCTCCCCTTACACGCACGACCAGCAGCAGCAGCAGCAGCAGCAACAACAACAGCAGCAGCAGCAGCTGCAGCAAGGGGACGCTGCAACAAAGAATAAGGGAGACGTTGGACCAGACAACGCGTTGCCTGCTGCTGCAGAAGCATCAACAACAGTTGCTTCGGCACCTTCCCCAGCCTCCTCCAGCAGCAGCAGCAACAGTAACAGCAGCTGCAACAGCAGCAGCAGCAGCAGTATGTATGAGTGTCCTGCTGAGAGGCCTGCACTGTGTCTGTGGCCGGGAAAGGCTTTGATAGATAACGATTTAGGCCCCCCAATAGAAGACAGCAGCAGCGCCAGCAGCTGCGCAGCAATCTGCAGCAGCAACATTAGTTGCTGGGCTTGGGTTTACCGCGGGTCGCCACACCACACCTGTCAGCTAAAGCGACTTCCTGCTGCTGCTGCTGGTGCACTTGCTGCTCGTGCTGCTGCTTCTGTTAAGGGTATTGCAAACAGAGTTGTTGTTGATGTGACTTCCCCTGCTGGTGCAGCTGCTGCAGCAGCAGCAGCAGCAGCTGCTGCTGCTGCGGGGAATGCAACAGCAGCAGAAGCAGCAGCAGCATTCAGCTTGCTGGAGACACCTGGGGAGCGCCTCCAGAGGAGACAAAATATACGCTTAGAGGTGGAGAGCCACTCTTTACTTGTGCCGTTTGCCTATGCAATAACAGGCTTAGCTGACTGTCCCCTTAGAGGAGACATTAAGAGGGAGTCGAGACACCGCAGAAGGGCGCTGCTGCTGCTGTTGCGCAAGCAGCAGCAGCAGCAACAACGCATGCGAAAGGCAGCAGAAAGAGCCAGAGAAAGACAAGAGAGACTGAGGCAAAGAAGACAAAATAGACGAACAGCAAAACAGTTTAAACGCCAGGAGACGCTGCAGCGGAGACAGCAGCAAATGCAACATCACAAGCAAATGCAGCAACAGCAGCAAATGGAGACCGAGCTGGAAGAGCAGCAACAAGAACAGCAGCAGCAGCAGAAACTGCAACTACATCAGCATCAACAGGAGACGCCCCAGCAGCAACCACAACGCCCGCAGCAGGAGGAGGGGCGGCAGCAACAGCAGCAGCAGCAGCAGGAAGAGCAGCAGGGGCAGGAACAGCAGCAGGAAGAGCAGCCGGGGCGGGAAGAGCAGCAGGGAGAGCAGCAGCAGCAGGAGCAGCGGGAAGAGCAGCAGCAGCAGCAGCAACTGCAGCTTGAGACGCCCCCTGGCCTCGATATGCAGCAAAACCAATCGGGTGGGTCTTCTGCTTCGCTCGGGCATCTGCTGCTAAGAAACGTGCAGCCAGACGATCTGCAGCAGCAGCAGCAGCAGCAGCCGCCGCCGCAGCTGCTGCAGCGATTCAGGCCGCTGGAGGTAAAGCCGCTGGCGAAGCTGCTGCAGCCGCTCGTGCCTCCGCAGCAAACGCAACAGAGGCTGTTGCTAGTGCCTACCGGATTGCAGCAGCAACAGAAGCAGCAACAGCAGCAGCAGCAGGTACAGCAGCAGCAGCAGGTACAGCAGCAGCAGCAGGTACAGCAGCAGCAGCAGGAGGCTTCGCCGCTGCAGACCTTCGGCAATCTCCAGCAGCAGCCGCTGCTGCGTCTTCCTTCTCTACTGCCTTTCAAATCGCCGTCCGAGAGGCAGCTGCAGCAGCAGCAGCAGGAGCAGCAGCAGCAGCAGCAGCAGCAGATACCCAACAGTGAGGAGAAGCCGCACGTTCCCCTGCTGCAGGGAGTGCTGCAGGAGCAACCCACGAAGCAGCAAACATCGCTGCTGCAGCAGCACCAACAGCCACTGTCACTGCAGCAGCTTCTATCTGGAATAGCCTTCGGGAAAGAACCGCAACCACCGCAGCAGCTCATAGATTACCACCAGCAGCAGCAGCAGCAGGCATTGCTGCAGCAGCAGCAGGCATTGTTGCAGCAGCATGCACATCTACTGCACAACCCGCTTCTCCCGCTCTACCCCATTCGACAGCAGCAGCAAAACCCGATGCTGCAGCAACAACCATTGCTGCAGCAGCAACAACCATTGCTGCAGCAGCAACAACCATTGCTGCAGCAGCAACCGCCCCAGCTGCAGCAGCAACAAC